GTAGTAGTAGTAGTAGTAGTAGTAGTAGTAGTAGTAGTAGTAGTAGTTGTTCTATTATCACATATTAAACAGTGTTTACTTAACTAATGAACGCAAAGAATGAATGCAGTAAACAGTCGCAAATGATGTTTAATATTTTGACAACATTAATGCCTAACGGTTTATAGTTAGAGATGTTTAATATTCTATCAAATTGCAATTTGATGCCTTGAAAAAACGAAAAGAAAAGAAAAGAAATAGAAACATAAACAAGCTTCGCTTACTTTGATTAGTTTGTTGTAGCTTTCCATGCATGACACTTGTGCGTCTCTACTTACTTTACATTACTAATATTTGTTCTATATTTGAAATATATTTTAACATCATTTCTTTGAGAAGGAGAAAGATTGAATGGCTCTTTACTTCTTTATAAGCGTTCCTTACTTAATGTTATTGCCTCGAAAGTCATTTGTCTTGAGTGCATGTTCTACGTATGCCTTGGGAAAACGAAATTTATTATGAAATGATTGATCTTTTTTTTCTTTATGTTCGTTGGCAACATTTTGCCAGTCAAAACTATCATAAATGTAACAGACATATAAAACATTTCTCCTGTGATGACATTTAACGTTGAAATAAACCTACAGGCTTTTTGTGTATTACGTATATAAAACACAAACGAAAGAGAGAGAAGGAAAGGAAGAAAAAAAAAAACATTTATATGATTTATAGCATAAATCAAGTCACGGTTTTCATTCATCACTTGATGGAAATTTATTAACTTTGTCAGTTCATAAGTAACGCTCAATAAATACACTTCGATGGCTTTTTAGAGATTTAAAGAAATACACAATTCTTAATACTCTCTTGAATATGGCAAAGAAATTTTTATCACAAAAAACTGTTGCTTTGTCGAATGCAACACTGTTAACTTCAACTTGATATGAAATGCTTTTATAAGCAGGCGAGAAGCAAACATGCTTATTTTGTCCGTCTTTATATCAGTCTGATGAGGTTTCGTAATATCTCTTCGTTTAAGTTTAATGATATTTCGTAGCTTGCCAATGCTAACAGATTTCGATTTCTTTGAGTTGATCAGCATTTCTTTCTTGAGTTCTAGTATTTCATAATTAAATTTCTACCTCTATTCCCTTAAAACTTATTACACTCCTTAAGTGGATAATCGTAGTCATAATCGTAATCCATTGAAATCATTTTCTTTATCTCTCTCATTTCCCATGTTGCTTAGGTTTTCTGAATATAGAATTATAATTTTCCGCGAAAGTTCTTATAGTGTCGCAGTAGCATGGCATACCGTACTGGTCATGGATTCTTGGAGTAAAATAGAGTTATCTTTAGCAGATTGAAGATTTTAGAGGTTTTCATTGAGGCTTTGCCAACCTTGGAGCCTTATTAACTATTAATAACAGAAGCGGATCAAAGTTAAATTGCTAACCAGACAGTGAGATCAAACTGATAATGAGGAAAGAGAAAAGAATTACGGTTAAGTTGATAACCAGTGAATGGAAGTTAAGTTTTAAGTCGGAATAAGGGAAGTGGGCTGAAGGTTAATTGATGGACATTACGGTTATCGTGATGATAGGAAAAGCGGGCTTAGAGTTAAATGCATAATAAAAGAAGTGGTTTTGGGATTATATTGACAAGCAGAGGATAACGTTTAAGTTTAAATTGATAATAAGAGAAAATTGCTTAGAGTTAGATTGACAATCAGAGAATGATGGTGGAAAAACTTACGGTTTAATTGACAACCAGTGAGCGAAGTTTAGCTTTAAATTGATAATAAAAGAAAACAGACTTAGGCTTAATTGGATAATAATAGAATGAAGGTTAGAACTAAACTGATAACCACAGAATGGAATTTTGTGCCAATAAATAGTGGCCTAAGGTCCAATTAAGACCCAGAGAATGAAGGTTTGCAAGTAGATTGATAGTCAGAAAAGAAAATTTAAGATTAGATTGATAAAAAATAAAAAAAAGTTAGCGAATACGTTACCCAGCAGGCTTTAGAAGGCTTTACAAAAAGGACTACTTGTCTATTTATTAAGCCTAATAGTTTCTAAACCCAAAACCGGATACGACTAAATAAACAGAATTAAAGTAAGGACACGTTTGAATACCTTGCCATCTCGTGCAGATGGCAACAGGTAGTCTCTTTACCTTGCGATATAACACTACAAACTTAAACTTCCCTATCGGTATTAAGCGATTCACTCCCTGATTTCGGAAAATTTCAAGTCGCTTAGCTTTTATCTAAGTCTTTGTTGTCAAACCGTTGTATATTTTCCAATATTTAAAGATCCTTGCCCACGGAATATATTATATTAAAAAATATTTACTTTTATTAAAGCGGCCGCACTAACCATCCAGCCTTACTTTTTAAGCTGGTGCTAGGATATATTAAACTTGTGCGGATGTATGCAATTTTCAAAAGGATTGGAGAGAGACTCATATTTGATTAAACCGATCGACTTAGCATCACTTTATGAAACGATCTACGCTTGTCCGTCGGCCTTGGCAGCTTGTTTTCTTGTGTTCAACTTTTAGGTCACAATTTTGGAGAAATTTTGATGAAATTTGGTAAACTGACGTGTTATGCCTCAAGAACGTACGCTACTTGGTCACTTTTTTAACCACTTGCCATACAATGTTTCATTTTGAAAAGTCGATATACGAACAACTGCATTAAGCCAGGTGGTGTAGGGTATTCGATGCGTAATCGTGACGCACTATAGGGTTTTTACTTGCTTAGTCCTAGAATTTATTTTCTTGTTCTCAACAAAGTGTGATAACAATAATGATGAGTTCTCTTCTGAGATGAGAAGACTATCTATATATTATTATTAGCGTGATTAAAGCTTCGGCTTGAATACTCTTTAGTTTGCTCTATGATTTGTTTATTATTATTAAGAAATTAATACAACTCTGCAAATATACGAGCCAAGAATATCTTGTAATGATATATGCCAGTGTTTTTTGTTTTTTTTTTTTTTTGCAAATTTCTTTCCTTCTTTTTTTTTGTTGCTTTACATCTTTTATGGTTTTCTTGTTGATGTTATTTTTATGACAAGTGTCATAAGATAAGTTAATAGATGAAATTGCTTTGATAATGTAAACAAAAATCTGTGTTTCCTCTCCTTATTTTACTTATTTTCCATTTCAGCAACAAACAGAAATATTTTATGTAACTAATGGCTTTTAATGGTAAAACATACAAATCGTACTGATTACCTTTAGGTGATAGAGAAAGCAAAAGAAAGCAATTCAGAAAACTAATTTATTTTGATAGATTTCTTTTTGCAGCATATTTACAAGAAAATAAATTGAAAAACCAGTTTAAGCAAAAAAAAAAAATAAATAAATAAATAAAAAGAACAAAAATCAAAAATAGCTTTAGATAACTTATCAGTTCAAACAAAGATATTAGTTCGAGATCCATTTAAGAAGAAAATATTTTGTTTTTTTTCTTTTTGGTTTTGAAACAAGTGAGAGAAAAAAATCTATCTCTTAGTGGTCTTGTGTTCAATCGAGCTTTCAATGACATGACACTTTAAAATTACGTACAGTGCAGTCGACCCCACGTCTATTCCAGGCGAGCGTATTAAACGGATTCGTATAACAAGGCGAAAAAAGGTACTATTTTGAGTACTACTACGCCGGAACTAATTACCCTCTCTGGGCCATAAGTGTACGATTTCACATTCCCTATGCCATCGGTCACGGTAGACGCAGAGACGTCTCTCTTAAATACATTAGTTATTTAATGGTCGTAAAAATTCTCCTCATAAGCCTCTACTAAGGTAAGCCTAACTACTCATTAATTTATTTCTATAAACTAAGTAACTCGTACAATACGGTTTTTTATATAAACCGAATCGATTTGTTGCGCACATACATAGTTTTACACGTGACTGGCACAAGTTAATTAAAGGGAATCGAAAGTTTTGGTCGAGAGCCCGTGGTGTCATCATAAGCGACGGAGAAATTCACCAAACTATAATCGTGACTCGCCTACGTACGTCAAACCAAGGAAAACAAATATGCAAAGTAAACTTTAACTCGTGCGATATCATAGTGCAGTAGGATGAGGGTGTTATGTTGATGATTATTGCATTTTAATTATAAATAATAAAGTCATTAAAGAAGTGAAAAAAAAAAAAAACAATGAAAAAAAAGACCAGTTTTTTTATTGAACATAAAATTTTACGTGTTTTTTATATACGAATTTAAATTAAAATAATTCTTATATGCTTTTCTAGTCTTAGTGGGTTTTTTATTTATTTTTTTCTTTTTACCGTATGCGGGAACGGTGTGATAGTAGGTAAACCATTTTTTATGGGTCTAATTGTGGTTAAACCATACGAATAATCGTATTTACTAAAGTGATGTTTAGCAACATGTTGCTCGTCATTCAATATGTTGACATTTGGTTTAAATGTTGTCCTACTCACTGGCTCACTGGCAACATGACGTTGAGTTGTAATTGAAAATTCTTGCTTTTCCGGCTTATTTTTATATTGCTTGGTGATAGGATTTACTACTACTACTACTGGTCTTGTATGTTGCGAGTTTTGCCATTGTTGTTTTTGGCTTTCATTTAAATGCCTGGATAATGCGGTATAGTTATGTGTTGGCTTTTTTGTTGCTTTAGATAAATCAGAGTCTGTTACAGTTGCAAACCGAATTGTTTCGCTGGCAATCAACGGTGGCAATAAAATTTCCAACGAAGGTGTAGCAATTCCAACGTGAATTATTTTAGGCTTAGAAGCTAAGCCTTGCGTTTCCTTAAAACGGTTTTTTTTATTATTTTCTATACCCTTAGCATCACCTTCTAGGAGAGGTGGTAATAAAACGTCTAAGGCGGGCAATGGAATTGATGACTTTGGTTTTACGATTGTTGATATGGTAACGGGTTCAGCTGTCGTCGTCGTCGTCTTTAATCTTGCTGTTCTTGTTGTTGTTCTTGTTGTCGTTGTATTTATGTTAGCAGCAATTTGCTTATATGCTTGGCCTACTAAAGGAGTTGTTGGTGATTGGGATGGTGATGGTAATTGTATCTTTGGCGGCAATAAGGCTTCAATTCCTATTTTGGGTATTTTTTCAGTAGTAAATATTGTTGCCTTTGGTGTTGTTGTTGCTGTTGCTGTTCTTATTGTTGTTGCAGTTGCTATTTCCGGTACAGGTGGCGGCAATAACTTATTATACGGTTGTGTTAAACTTTTTTGTATTGTTCTCCCATTTATTAGCGTCACAAGACAATTGACAATCAACACAGCTGTGAAAAATAACTGAAAGGGACAAAGTTGAAAGAATTTTCACTACGTTTTCTTTGCGAACGAGTATAGTGATTAAAAAAGAACAATCGTTTTTTTTTGGAAACAGTTTTCTGCTGTTTATCGCAAGGAAATGAAAGCGTTTTTAATTAATTTTTTGTTCCAAAAATTTTTTTTTTTTTAATTTATTTTTTGTTTGGTGATTTTTTGAAACGTGTAACGTACAACTCACTTTAAAAATGTAAACCATTTTTTTTTTTTGCTTTTAATTTGTGTTATATTTTAATGATAAGTATGTGTTAAATAATAAAATTAAAACGAGACTAGTTAACTATTAATGCGCTATTAATCGCGTCAGCAGTTAAAATAGACTAGAAATTTTTAATAACGTGTTACTTGATTTTATAAGAAAATCTTAAGTAATTTGTACTCTTTTTTAATTATATATCCTCGAATTACTGGTTTAACAATTTACTTGCTCTCGCGACTCTAAAGTCTTTATACAGCAATATTCACTGTTGTTCAGAGTTTAGCAAGTAATAGATTTATGTTTGTTTCTTTTTTTTTGGTTTTTTGGTAAGAAAGATTTTGAAAACATCAAGATTTCATTTATAGAAGATGCTCGTTTTGTTTAGTTAAAAGTCAGAATAATAAAAATATTTTAAATAAGTAAAACGAATATATTCGGTTTTAAGCATTTTTTTGCAATTCTCTCGTTTTTAAAACTTCATTTTTCATAAAGACGTTAAGCTGAGTGTTTTAATATCTAAACTTCACGAACAAACAAATATAAAGTAAAACTTATTCGAGAAATAAATATTAAAATAATTCGACTTAGATCACTTTCCAATTGATGAGCACTTTGACTAAAGTTTACTTAAGTTTTCAGTTACATTGAAAGGTACTAGCTTCCGTAATATCAACACTTTGAAAACTTTGTTTTTAAAATAAGTCGATTTAGGTCACTTTCCAATTGATGGGCTCTTTTCACTAAAATTTTCTACATTCAACGTCACCCGCTTTCATAATATGACTACTCGAAAATATTCAATTTTAAAATTAACCGACTTAGGTCACTTTCCAATTGATGGGCGCCTTTCAGTAAATTTTGTTAAAGTGTTTATTTACGTTGAAAGGTACAAACTGTTGTAATACGAATACTTTTAATATTATATTTTTAAAAGTAAGTCGACTTAGGGTCCTTTCTAATTGAAGGTCTCACTCCGTTAGGTTATGCTAAACCTTTAAGTTACATTAAGTCTGATGACTTGTCTTGATTTGTATATGTTGAAAATTTAATTTTAAAATAAATCGACTTAGGACATTTTCCAACTGATGAGCATTTTCATTAAAAAATGTTAATGTTTTTAGTTACATTGGACGGTACCCACAGTCGTAATATGAATACTTTGAAAACTTAATTTTTAAAATAAGTCGACTTATATCATTTTCGAATTCAAAGGTTCTTCCCATTAACTATGCTAAATATTTTAGTCTAACCAACTCGAATAAGTATTTATGCTAATTCAATTGTTGATGACCGTTATCATAGTATGAATATTTTGACTAAATCGTTTTTTGCATTTTAACACAATTTAGACAAGGAATTTTTTTTTTTTTCAAAATTAAGAACGACACCCGCTGCTATGGCGTGAGTACTTTTACATAATCGTTTTTTGCATTTTTTCATTATTTTTAGACACAATAAAATTTTTTTTGAATTAATCAGACGTACGACCCGAGCCTAGAAGAAAACAATGTTTTCGAACGATGCGAAGTGCAGAAAGACGGGCAAAGAATAATTGCTAAATCTATTCGCACGGTTACGCCGTTTAGTATTACACTGTTTATAGCTCATAAAGTGTTTGATGCATTTGTTTGACAGTTAAAAACCTCATGTGACAAACCAGTATATTTCCGTTCATTAGAGTAGAGCAACATAGTAAAAACGGACGTCATATGTAGACATGCTCATAGCGTACAATTTCAGCTTTTATATATAATTTATATTTTAGATTTTAGAAATGTTTTATTGTAGGATTACAGGAAATGCATCTCAAAGACTTTGTATGTCATGTGAAGCTACTAAGGAATCGCATGCAGGTTTTGTGTTCCTTATTGAAACCGTAAACCAGGATTTCGCTTTAGATAATTTGTTTCAGCATGGTGCTCGTATTTTTCTCAAGGTCCAGGACATGAATGTTAAAATCCAAAAGATCCTCTGGGGTCGGATTTTAACGAAAGAAGAGCTGTTTTGGCTATCGCCTGTTTTATGTAACTACATCTTAACTGACCATAAATTGAAGCAATATAACGCTTTCAAAATTTTTTGGTTGCCTCGAACTAATTCTTCAGATTTTCATTTAAGAGTAGAGGTGAAAATAAGCTGACCTAGCCATAGTCAAAATTTGCAAAAATTTTCAATTCTTGAATTTATGTCTCTTTGATAAGCTTACATTACCGCCCATCTCTGTGCAAGTGTTCGTGATTTAACGAGCAATTGTATGTGGGATTGTGAAGATTATACTTACATAACTAGGCACCCTAGCTAATAAAATTATTTTGGCCCAAGGCGAATACCTTTAACCAATACATTGCAGTTCTCAACGACCTTGAGAAACGTTTTTACAAATTTTTAATTCATGTTTACTTGACATCTTCTCAAGCTAAAGTTTGCTATCTTTTAATGACATATTTGCAAGCAGTTTACGTTCATTCTCGCATTGAATTTTCAACATGTCCTAATAATTATATGTTAGTAGTTTAAGAATGATGATTACTTTGCATATGAAAAGTTTTCATGATCCTGGTATATGTAGGTACTGGATTTTTGAACAAAATTGTCCATGACTGTAAAGTACAGCCTTTTGCTGCCCTCGATGCGCTTGTGAGTTAGCTTAATTTTTAAATCTTGCCCGTGATCGATCATTAACTAAGACTAGGTAAGGCAACATCAACCATCAGATTTCTATTTTAAACCTTACGATTTTTCAATGCTTTAAGAAAAATATCGCAAACAGATGGGCAGCCTGTTGGATGAACAGAGTAAGTAACGAACGGATGGACTAATAGAACTTGTTGACGGCAGATCGTAAAAAGATAGGCTCTGGTAAAGACAAACAGAATAATCGACATTCGGACTAATTGAAGCATGGATTGATGGACGGACGACCTTACGAACGGATAGATTTACTGACGGACAGACAGGCTCTCCTAGGGACGGACTAAGTGCACTATGGATTGATGGACGGACGACCTTACGAACGGATATATTTACTGACGGACAAACAGGCTCTCCTAGGGATGGACTAAGTGCAGTTTGGATTGATAGACGGACGATCTTACAATCGGATAGACTCACTGGCAGACGAACAGTGGGCTAGAGGGCAAGCTGGCGGTCGGATGGTCAAACCAACGGACAATGCCGAAGATAGATTGTTACAAACTTTAGGACTACATAAGCTGTGTGGGATCACTTGCGTAACTTCCTAGGTATTACTTCCAACCTACGATAAGGGGCATACTCAAGTACATGTAGGTAGTAAAAGCGTCGCTACGAACGACATTTTACTTGTCTTGACTTTTAAATCTTAATACTGATAACTTTTTTCTTATTTTATAAACCGGTTTTTGTTCCCTTAATTATATCAATTCCAAGTTTTTGTCTTCGATTTGCTGGCTGGTGTTAAATGTTTTTGCAAAAGCAAAAAATGAAAAAAACAAATTGCCGAAACAGTCAGAGACAAAACAATTGCAATTATAAAATTTTCACACGATTTATTTGAATTTTACATGAACTGATTTTTGTTCGCCAAACTACTAAATATATCGATCATATAATATGCGAAGAAAAGAAGAAATTAATTTGTATAGAAAATCTGATGGGAGTATCGGTAATCAATTTCAGAAAGAAGGTAGGATACTTAGGAAAGCAGATAAGATAGTTTAGTTTTAAGACATCGTAAGCCAAAGAAATGAAAATGATTTTGGCTTTTAGTAAGAGTTATGGAGATGACGTACGTACGTACTTTCACTGGGCGTATCCGCAAGCGATCGCTTGGGAATCGTAAAATTGTATATAAACGAAATAAAATTTTGCTTTAGATATCTTTTAATTATTGTTATGTAATTTTTTTCTTATTTCGAATTTTTTTTTTTTTATTTTTTGTGTTTAGTCATTTTTTATTTAAACACTTCGCAGCTGATGTTCATTAATCAGAGTCATTTATAATTGGTTGACTTAGACGGAGACATACATGTACTGAAAATAACATACTTATGCTCAGTTAATTACGTATAATTTATGTTAATTCATAAACGTCAGTAATTAGTTGAACGCTAATAAAAGTTTTTTCGATTTATTTAAGCTGAAAATTTATTAATGTATTTTTAGTTTTTGTTTTGTTTCGTTTTTAAACCTAGACTCATTATAAAGCATTTATTACCGGTTATTTTGCAATTTCTCTGCAGAATGAGTTTTGGTTTCTCTCTATTGGTTATTAGTTTATATGTATTATTTGTTTAGAAATTTATTATTATTAAAGATTTCGCTCTTTGTTTATTGCAAAGACTTAATTCATAAAACGAAATGAAAATACTCTAGTGGACCACAGTCCAGTACGCTACAATTTTTCATGGAGCGACTTTTTAAAAAGAAAAGCTTATGCGGCAAGTGATCGAAAAAGCGATCCGATCCGAAGCATTTTCAATAGCTTTCGTGTTTAGGCCAAGACATGTCGGCATTCCAAACTTTACCAAAATATCTCAACAGGCGCTTAGACCGAGCGCAAGAAAATAATCGGGACGGACGGACAGCCACGCTTTGGAAAATGAATCTGCAACGTTCGGTATTATAAAAGGCAGGTCCATCTTAAGTCTTTCTGGGTATTACATACATCCACACAAACTTAATATACGCTCGTATAACAACGGGTGTGTAGAGTATAAAATGAAAATAATTTTCTTGGTAAAATTCGTAATAGTTGTTCTTAAATGGAAAGTTCCGTTTTATAAATTAAGAAGAAGAAAACACATTTAATTTATTATTATTATTATTATTATTAATTTCGCCAGACAAATAAATTCTAAGACTAAACTCTTAAAAGCACTAGCATCTAAGGCTATCGGCTTTTTTTTTATTAAAAACTCTACCGCACTTGAGATTCGAACGACCATTGACTTGCTAGTCGGGATTCCTCCCCTTCGTCTACTCAGGCGGATCACATTTCATTTAATTATTTACGTTTACGTTATGTTTTTATGAA